GTGGGGCAAGTCTTAGACTGGGTTCTGCCATTTTTAAAGCAGTTTGTGTGCACTGAACTTCTGTTCAGTTATGGGAATAACTGGTTTAGGCGCTGAACTTCTGTTCTGTTACAGGTAAAGACCAGTTTCCAATCACTTATACTGGTAAAAGTGTAATGTCTGTACCTGACCTAAGAAATTTGTCATCAACTTCAGTGGGGAACAGTTTGCAACCATTTGCTTACTTGTCTTTGCAACGTGCATTTAATGGAACTGCTGAGCAGATTTTTGTTTGAACTATTGCTCTTTTAAATTTTACCTCCACAGCCATATGTCTCTTGTCTAATAGGTGATCCTGTGCATATTCTCATGGCAGTATCATTGTCAACTGCCAGTGTTCATCTGCTGGTTGGCAATTTTTTTCACTTGCATTTACTTCTATTTTTTTTTTCTGATGTGAATTGGGACTGTGGTCCACTGCATACACGTAAAGGCACTGGATTTTCTTCTAGACTTTGTTTTCAAGAAACCAGTACCAGGGTGGAAAGAACAACAGGGTGGTGACGTCCCCGTGCCCATTCACAGCTTCTACTGTAAACAAGCTGCCCCAAGCAGCTGCAACTCAAACAAGTCCTACATTTTCTTCAACTACAACTTGACAGATTTATTTAAAATCCTTGCTGCTTGATGTAAGATTCCACCTGCCAGTTTTCAGAAATCTGGGACAGAGATTATTTGGTCCTGTCATTCTGAATGCATAAAACTGCCAGATTTTTGCACCCACTTCAGAGGTGATAATATCTGTTTCCATATCCTCTTTCCCATTAGTCATCTGTTTCTACTCGCCACTAAAAGAATGCCAAGAACGGAAAAAATAACAAAGAAAGTGTTATTCCTCTGAAGTGCTAAATGAGTGTTAAGATTTCCCTTTAGAAATAAACAACAAAAACACTTTCTCTTAAAAACCCCGCAAGCCATTTACCAAGGATTTAAATGGAGCATTATTTCCACAACTTATCCACTGTCGCAGGACACTTTTTTTGCTTCAGATCTACAGAGCAAGGGATCTTTGCTTTGTACCACTAATGAATGTCTGTTGGGGAGCCTTCTTAGGCTCAGTCTGCTTAAAACAGTTTTAGCTGGTTCTTCAAAACAGAGTTACATAGGGGCAAAAGAGCAGATGATACAGACTTTGTATCCAGCACAAGTCTAACTCACCAAATTACAGTTCATTACACACAGTGAGTGTTTTTCTGGCATCTGTAAAAACGTTGTGCATAAATTGTACATTTTTAGTGAGAAGTTTACGTACCGAAGTAACACCAAAGCCTTCATATAATCTTGTGCATGTGCTAACTTAAGTATTAGTTCATTCTAAATATAGCAACACTGCCTGCCCTAAAAATAACTTCTAAATTTGAATTGTTTTTTAAAACAGGGGCAGATTTCTAGCACTTACAATATGGAACAAAAGATGGAACCTCATGCCTTTTTGTAACACACTGCACCCACTCCCAATGAATGGACTGAAGAACAGACAGCACCAACTACAATAGTTTTATACTCTCTAACATTTGGAGCATATTTAAAATAATACAAAAAGCTAATTGAGGACCTGATAATAGTGGACCTGATTTCTGTACTCAGTAGGCATCTTGCTACTTACTTCAAAGCAAGCAGGATCAAGCTTGCAGAATACAGAGAAAATTATGCCATTAATCTCATTCGTGAGTTGGCGTGACTGAAACTAAGTTCAAACCCCTTCCTTGTGAAACGTCTGAAGCTGGAATTAAAGAACCAGCAGTTTCAGATCCTGATTTGGGCTGGGAGCCTACAATACTTTACTACAAAACTATTAGTGTCAATATAATATTCCTTGTACAGTATTTGAAAAGTCTTCAGAAAAACATTACTCTCCATTATTACAATTCTGTAAGATGAACCCTGTTATCTTTCTCTTTTATATATTTAGTTCATGTTAAGTAGGAAAATTCATCTGTCAGTATAACACAACCTTTCTGCCTAAAAACTAGGGGTGTGAAAAGCGGGCCCTATTCGATTTGGATTTGGCCCAAATCAGGGACAGTGATTCGACTCATTGATTGGGATCACTGTCCCTGATTCGATTCAGCCAAATCTAAGTCTGAAGATTCGATGCTGATTCAGAGAATCAGTGATTCGGCCATACGCACAGCTTTAAAAATGTTTTCTACACACCTTGAAGTAGTATGCACGGCTCATGATTGCTGTGATGCTGGGGCACTTGGAGCATCCTATAAGAGCGCAGGGGGGCCTCCACGTGGTCAGCTGCTGGGAGGGCGCAGGAGGTTGGGGGACCAGCGTGCTTCCCGGTGGACCTGGAAGTGGACCAGAAGTGCTTCTGGTCCACTTCTGGGTCTTCTGTCAAACATGCTGGGGAACCCCCTGTACTTCTGTGGGATGCTCCATGCGCCCCAGCATCGCAACATTCACAGGCCCCTGTTACCTAGAGGTATGTAGAAAAACCATCTAAAGCTGCATCTACGTCTGAATCTCCAAATCTTTCTGAATCTCTCCGAACTGATTAGGAAGAATTAAAGAGTCCTTTGATTCGATTTGAATTTGGAGATTCAGACACCGAATCACGCCGAATCTCCACCAGATCAAATCAGGGACCGAAACTTTCCACAGCTCTACTAAAAACCACTTGCTTGAATTCATTCTAATTGAGAAAAGTACTTAAGTAACTTCTTAAGTCCCCTTAAAGGAAACTGGATTTAAACACTTTTTTAGGTGCTCTGCTGAATCATCTGCAGTGCAGCCTTGAAGTTAGACACCTGCTTAAGTACCTTATTGAATAATGCTCAAGATTAATACAAAGATTCAGTTTCTTCAGTGTTATAATTTTCAATTTAATTCTTCTTGATGGTACAGTTAAAATTAGTATCTGTATTTCTGAAAGGGTGATGTATTCATTGCTTAGTGAAAGAAACATTTCCTAAATGACAGCACCATGGACAAGTTTTCCCTCCTACATCAGTGGGAAGCAATTTGCAAAAGTTGGCTACAATTAACTATCACATAGGTTCTATTCTGATTCACTGGAACTGCACATTATCCTCCCCTTCCTTTCCAACATCTTCTAGGACAAAATGCCTTCTAGACATTTGATAGGAAGATCCTAAGGTACCAAGTTACAGACATCAAAAAAGATGAAGGACTGTAGTTACGTATGTTTGCCAGGCATCTCAATGGGACTGTAAGAGTCCTCAAAATCCAGATGTACTTAGTGATTTCCTTTATGATGTTCATAGAAGGCATGAGAAGAAAATCCAGAACGTGTATAAACTCTGTAAAACTGCCTAGGTGAAGGGAATAATCTTCAGGTCTCCTTCAGAACACATTTAGTTTTCAGCAGACTGCAAAGCCTGGCATTTAAGCTTGACAACTTTGAGACAATGTGATTGAGCACTGCACAGGATGACAGCAATAACAAATCCTTCACTGTGATTAGAAACCAAAGACAAAAGTAGAGACAACCTCATGTGTCTCCTATGCTGCTCTGTTGTGGCCTCATAACTGAAATGAATGTCATATCATAACACTAGAAAGAGGGAGCCTTGGGGGAGCCCTTCACTTGTCTCAAAGGATCACACAGTTCATGTCCTGAAACACCGCCGGTTTTAAGTGTATGTCTAGTTTAAGTTTTCTCTACAGGTCCCATCACTGGATGAGGTGCCTTCATCATCTGGTGTGTGTGTAGGGAGGGCGGGGGGTTAGTCCCATGGAAGACTAAAACAGAACGAGCTTCATCAGTATCTTAGCCCTGACTTTTACTGTACTTCCTGCGTGCTGTTACATTTTATTATTTCCTTCATTCTCAAGTAACACTGAGTCACACTAGTGTGTTGTGATACTAGTTTTATTTCTCTGCAGGACAGTCTGAGAAAAAAAAAAAAGGAGCATTTATTTATTTATTTATTTTTTTTTTAAAATCTGCCAGAGTATAAATGTATTTGTTTGCTATGACAATCAGCACTGCCTGTGGGGAACATGAGATTCTCCACAAGCCACCCTCAACTTCTGCTCTCTAGCTCCTCTAGTCCCTTGGTGTAAATACATGGTACGATGGCACAGGATCTTGCAGAGGTTCTCCTCAAATAGGAGTCATACTAATTGTATTGCTATCAAGCACACGCGAGGCACAGATTAACCAACTTAATCACTACTAGTTAAAAATCAGAAAAACATATATAAAGATAAATGTAAACTGTACTATACATTTTTAAAAACTAAATTCCATCCTGTGATGCATAAGAAAATTCCATTAAAGTTAACATGGATAACATACCTGGTTGGAATAATTTATTCCCAAACCTGCAAAATTCAAGTGTTATTTTTGGGGGAATGGGTTAGGTCTTAGAGCATTGCTTCAGAATAATTCCAAAGACCAGGTATTGGAAAAGAAAATAAATCAAGTATTACAAATACCTGAGAAAATACTTTCAAGGAAAGAAAAGCAAAACACTGTTTATCCACCCTCCGGGAATATGGTTATTGATGTCATATTTTATGTTTTGCCTGGAACGGTCTTTGAGCCCCCAGCTTTATATCGGATGGAAGAATCCAAGGGATCTCCTCTTGTGTTTTGAGTAATTGCTGGACACCTTTTTCAAGAGCTTAACAATTTAGTTGTAGTGCTGTTTACATGGAAAAATGTCTTTTACAAAGATTTTAGTTAGTATGCTTATGTTTTTCTCCAGGGGCAAAGTGTTACTTTAAACCTTACGCAAATCTATTGTAAATAATTACAATTTGTTTGAATACCACCTTCTACAACATTTTTAGACTACCATACATATTAGATGAACTGTTGAAGATTAATGGAAGTTTGCCATTGACCATAACGAGCAAGGATATGACCCAAAGTACATAAATAGTTTGAATATAATAGTAAGTGTATAACTGACATTAAATTATTCCAAAGCACCAAAAAGTTCCCAAACGACCCCCTTTACTGTTACCAAAACCCCATTTTTTCTCTTTTCTTATTTACCTGTGACTTGTAGTTTGTCACCAGTGACTTCTGCTTTCAGATAAATCCTTCCTCTTTTCTCCGTGTGATCCATTCCACAGAGACTTGGGACATTTATTACACACTGTTTGTGAACATTCATATCACACGCTGTGGAACAGAAGAGGAAAAGGTTCATAACATTACAACATAAGCACTACATTTACACTAAATACACATGGAATAATTTACACTACATGGCTAAAATGGATACAATACATTCCACCTAACCAAAATGGGATGACTCCCGTTAAAAAAAAAATGGAAAAAGGATCAAGCTTCAGTCACCTAGCATACCTTTTAAATGGAAAAATAATATCTACAGGTATCTTTATGACAATAGAAAAATAAAGGACGCATAGAACAAAGATTTGACTCAGAGCATGACACTGATACTATTATAAATACAGCTAGTGCCTGAAAGTCTGTCCCTGAAATAAAGGAACAGCAAATAATCCCTTTAAAAAAAATACTGGTTGTGGGAGGAGAAGGGGGAGCAGAGGATGAGAAGCTTGAAAGTTGCTGGTATTATGAAGAAGAAACATCAGGATTTGACTATATTCTGGATGTGTGGGGCTTAAAGGAAACCAGACAAAGCTTATATCAATGTCTCCTTTTACGTGAAAGAATAATGGTGTTGGTGCCAGCAGTAACTGAAGGAAGGTGTAGGAAAGGATTTTGGGCAGAAAATAAAGATTTCATTATTATTCTAATTAAATTGAAGAGGAGACGGGTTTTGAATGCATAAATGGCATTGTAGGAAGAGAAAGTTTCCCTACCAAACTTCTTCCCTCTCCCCACCAAAAGTGCTCTAAAAACATTGCATTAGAGAGATACAAAAAGAACTATGAATGGGGCAGAAAAGCTACAGGAAGACAAAAATTAAAGGGAGCATGATTAACAGTATCAATTACAGCTAAGACGTCAAGAAGCCTGTACTAGAAGAGAAGGCCTGCCTTTGGCTATGGA